TTGATATTAGCAAAAAAGTTCAAAGTAATCTAAAAGTGGAATAGGGCTTATGTTTCATGCTGATGATGAACTACTATTTCACATTTATAAATGAAGATATTATATAATTATTTTTATTTTAAATCAACTTTATTGAAGTTTAATTTACATACAGTCAAATGCACACATTTTAAGTGTCGAGTTTGAGTTTTGACAAATGTATAGACCCATTTAACCACCCCCCCAATCAAGATGTAGAATACTCCAGTTATTTCAGAATGCTGCTTTGTGTTCCTTTGCATTCAGTACTCATCCTCTCCTTTCTCTCCCAATCCCCTACAGTCAACCGCTGATCTGATTTCTACCACTATAGAATAGTTTCACCTATTTTGAAACTTCAGATAAATGGAATCAGTCAGACTCTTTTCTGTCTCACTTCTTTTACTCAGTGTGTTTTTGAGATTCATCCGTGTTCTTGTGGATATCACTAGTTTGGTCCTTTTTCTTGCTGAGTAACACTCCACTGTGTGAATATGCCACAATTTGTTTATCTGTTCACCTTTTGATAAACATTTGGCTCTTTTCAGTTTTGGATCATTATGAATAAAGCTTCAGTGAACATTCAACTACAGTTGTTTGCATGGGCATCTTTTCCTTTCTCTTGGGTAAATACCTAGGAGTGGAATTATTAGGTCATATAGTAATTGTATGTTTAATGTTATAAGAAGCTGCTACATTTGTTTTTGTTTTGTGCTCCCATCAGGAGTGTATGAGAATTCTAGTTCTACATCCTTGGCAAAATTTGGTTTTGTCACTCTTTTATATTTTAACTGTTCTTGTGGACATGTAGCCATTGTGTCTTAATCTACAAAATTGAAAAGTATATCTTATTGCTTGCAGTTATAGGAATTTGTTGTCTACTTTTTATAGGCTGCCTGTGAGGGATTAATGGCCCTTTAATTACTTTATTGCATGTCAAAGGGGTTCAAAATGATATTCTGCTTAACACAGAATGGCTCCTTCCTGTGGTCCATATAGTGATTGGCTCTGTCATATTTCTATCCATATTGAGTTTCATTATGTATAGCTTCCTTCACAAGTCATATACAAATCCTGACTATTTAGAGCTTTTTTCCTGCTTCTGGGTGTGTTTGTTAGCTTTGCAGTTTCCCCAGCTGGCTAAGTTTAGTTGAATAAAAGTTTTATCTAAAACCACTCTCATTAGCCAACTAAAGGCCTCTCTGATGGGGCCAAATTTTGGTCTCATGTAAAAAATGAGGAGAACTTTATTAAAGTTATCCAGTGTATCTTTACAATGCTGAACACATAAAGTAAGTTGGGTATCATCTAGTTGCCAAAGGAAACAGAATTTTGCTCTTACTTGTGGATTGTGGACTTTTTTGGTAACCTTCTCCCCCCATTTTATTATGAAACATTTCAAACATACAGAACAGTTGAAGGAACTGCACAGTGGATACCTACATACCTACCACCTAGATTCTATAACATTTTGTTGTATGTTTAACCACATATCTGTTGACAAATTTTGGTAGTGTGTTTAAGCTACTACCTTTGTTTGTGGAAAAAGCATGGATGAGTAGAACCTACTGGGCAGTAGTTACTTTTGTGTGGCGTGGGACTTAGTGGATCTCTGATGCAGTGGTCTTATGAAGGTGACTGTTTTGTGATCTCCATTATCATTGGTTGAGAGCTCAAACATTTGTTTTCAAGTGAATTCCAGTTAGATTATGTTAAAAAGACAGAAGAAAGGCAAGGAAAATTGGTGGTAGAAAGGGTTTACATCATCAGGAGGCCAAAATAGTACCAACCTGCTTGCCCAACTGCTACAAACACTATCACGTGAATAGCTGCCATTTATTGAGTGGTTACCATGTCCAGAGCTTTATTTCATTTTAGTTCTCACAGCTCTGTAGGTATAGGTATTATTAGCCCCATTTTATGAATTAGGAAATTGAGGCTTAGTGAGATTGAATAATTTACCTAATGTCTCATCTGTTAATTGGTATTCAAACTCAGGTCTGTCTGACTCCAGACCCGTGCTTTGAACCAGAAGTCTGTACTGCTTAAGTTCCCTTTATTTCAGAATTTATGCTTTACATTCATTTTTGTCTTCAGAATTTGTCCAAAGTGGGCCACACCTAATTCGAGCCTATTGCAGTAGCATTCTTGCGGAAAAGAGGATATCATATAAACATTTTTGTGAAGGCCTCTTAATTCTTGAGGAGGGAGGGCCCTTTTGGAAATCAGGCATCCTGGAGTTTTTACTGACCTCATTTTGTTCTCTGAAGAATGAAGGAATTTCCAGCTTTGTATTAAATTGTGGAATGTATAGTGTTCCTTCTATATTTGAACCAAATAAATATTAGCAAGTATATTTAGGATGTGATACTGGTAGTTCTTTCCTGTCTTTTTAAAGAGCTTTTTGGAATGATAGCCAGTTGGAAGCTTGGTCTTACTAATAAAGAAGTGAAACCTAAGCAAGCTCCCTTGCTCCCTGGCTGCTCTTGGAGTAAGCCTCACTTAAGTTTCTCTGTGACGATTTTCAGGGCTTGTTTCTGTGAGTGACCCAAGGAGCAGTGTATTCTAACTGATGCACTAACACACTGAATACACTGAATGAAAACCATATGAGTGGAGGTGTGCATTGAAAGTAATAGTTTTTAACTTCTCTGGAGATTACATACTCCTTTTTGAAGCTGATGAAAGCTGTGGACCCTCTCCCCAGAAAACAAACATGCATATATGCACACAAATACAGTTTTACATACAAATACTGTAGGTGTTCACTGACTCCTAAGCCTATTGACAGAGTACCCTGGATTAAAAATCCTTTAAAGGAAAAAAAAATTAGGGAGCTGTAAAGTAAGATTTGAGCATCAGTTCTTAAACGTTTTTCACAAATGGCATCTCTTAAAATTGATTGTACCAGCATAAAATCTTGTTTGAGTATCCAAGATGTTTTGTTCAGTCTCTAAAGTGTTAGTTTTCCCCACTTTGTTAAAAAAAAATTAAAGATATTTGTGTGTAAGCTAAGATTCCTAAGGATAGATGAAATTCTCTACATTGATTTTTAATTTTTGCTTTTTCAATTTTATTTCTTCTACTATCAAAACATTTTCTCAGAACTACTAATAAGGCCAAAGATGTAGATGAAATCCTTTGCCAGTCCCCAACTTTAGGTTCCCATTTCTTCTTTAACCAAAATTTCTTCATAACCAACAGGTACATAGTACTTCTTTCCTTGTTATAACTTGTTATATGTGCAAGTGTTCAGGCATTGTTCTTGGCAAGTTACATGTTTTCTTACATTAATCCTCACAACAACCCTGTTAGAGACTTATTACTCTCCCCATTTTACAGCTGTGGAAGACAACACTAAGAAAGGTTAAATAACTTGATCAAGACAAATTCTGGTACTAAAAAGCAGAGCCAGGATTTGAATTCTTACAGATTTAGCTCCAAAGCCCATTTCTTTCTGTTTTACCATCCTGCTCTGTGATCAAAGAGTTTGCCATTTTTTTCTGATCACTAGTCTGACCTGATCTGAATTTTAAAAGCCCCAATTTCCATGAGTGGAAGGGGGTCGGTTTTCTTCTACAGCTAGCCAATTGTAAAATTATTGATTTTTTGTGTGTGTATAAGTTAGATTTTAGGTTGTGAAATGTCAAGAGTGCTGAATTTGTTGGCTGTATTATTAAACCCAAAATAAGGAAGAGGCTAGCTGGGTGATCTCCTGCCTGTTCTGTTTATATAAATGGATGTTTCAGATACCAGACTCTGACAGGGACAATTCCAGTGACTGAAAAGTTTGTGAAAGGCTTGTTACTAAACTTAGCATCATTTTCAGGAAGGAAAAACCCTAATGGTTTGGAACAGGACTAAAAAAGAGTTTAAAGGGTAGATAAGCTTTTATCAAATTGACTAAGAGCCAGGTGTCTATTTCCTAACTGTCTTGGGATAGCCATGGAGGGGAACCTCCAGGTCAGCTAGCAGCCTAGTGGTTTTTGCTGAGACAGCAGGCAAGGTCAGCATTCTGGAAAGGTAGTTCGGTTTGCTGAGTGAGTTTTGTGACACTCAGCATCTTTCTAGACAAAATTATTGTTCTTTCAAACGTTGTACTTTTCCTAGTTTCAGCCTTTTTTATACACAGTGGAACAGGAAGAATGAGTAGGTTGATTTGTTATATAACCTTAGATGTACATTTTTTATTATGAATTGATGCACCAAGCTTTAAGTGAGATAGCACAGAGCAGGAAAAAAGTAGATAGAATCCTAAGAGAGATTAATTGGAGTGATTGGGAGAACAAAGGAAGTTGGGTCAGATAATGAAATTTTAGAAAGGTTGTTTCTCTGCTTTTTTAAAAACAGTGAAGGAAGAAACTAGTGTGTATGAAGATATATACCATTTAACTCTCAAGGTGATGAAACTTGGTATAAAGGAAAATTCAGTTGACTTATTTGAAGATATGGGGAGAAATCAGATATAAATGTAGAAGAATTATTTTAAGTCATACTTTTGGAGTCTTTACAAATTAAGGGAATGCTTTTGGTGAACAATTTCTTTTAACAGAATTTGTGGGGGGTTTAAAAAGGACGGAAAGTACCATTCAAATGGCAAGATTGTTAAAAGTCACTTTGATTGTATTGTATACCTGCGTAGTTAGGATGAGGAAGTTGGACTATTTCGCTTTACAAGCTTTGTTTCCTCCTCAGCTTCACCCTCCTTCCCATGTGTTTTCCTGAAGCTGTGTGTGGGATTCTAGCATAGAGGAAGGGTAGGTCCTCTCACCTGTTTCCATTTTTTCCCCCTGCCATAAGTTCACAAGCACTTTTTCACTTTATGATCTATAAAAACGTAAACAGCGTTTCTGGAACCAAATTAATCTTTTGATTTTATGGTTCATACTGTGTGACACTGGAGTGGGGGCAGGAGGGTGGAGATATAAGGTGTTTGGACCCTTCTGGTTTATGGGATTGTCTTTTTCCCTTTTTCCCCTTAGGAACGGCGTGAATGTTGAGGGGGCGACACACAAGCAGGTGGTGGACCTGATCCGAGCAGGCGAGAAGGAATTGATCTTGACAGTGTTATCTGTGCCTCCTCATGAGGCAGATAACCTAGATCCCAGTGACGACTCGTTGGGACAATCATTTTATGATTACACAGAAAAGCAAGCAGTGCCCATATCGGTCCCCACATACAAACATGTGGAGCAGAATGGTGAGAAGTTTGTGGTGAGTGTCAGCCCAACTCAATCCTCAAACATCCAGCTTTTGTTTCCCCCAGTCGTATCATCTATGATATATATTAGAGCACTAGAGTAAGTGACTGCAACCTAGGTCAGCTTGTCTACCTCCCAGTAGACAATGGGTTCACACATAAATACAAGACACTGACCCTGATTTATTGCAGGGGGTGAACCATAGTAATGAAGAGTCCTATTGCTTAAGTAAAATTCCATTTTATTTCCAGACAGTTTTAAGTTTGCATTCTTGTCTGTTGTAAATGTGTGTGAGTTTGTTTTGCTTGTTCTTTTATTGGTTGCCATATCCCTTTGCTAATAGCAGTCTCACTTAACTGTTGACTCTGTAGTGCTATAGAGCAAGATTAACTTTAAAAGGTGGTGTCTTCCAAAATGTTTCGGTAATACAGTTTGTTTATGTCAGAACCTACAAGTGCCCTAACACTCTTCTCCACATCTTGTTCTTTTTCATTTTCTTTGGAGATATCTGTGTGAATGATTAACTCTGGTTTTTCCCAAAGTCCTAATTATATTCTGAATGCACTTCACATGAGCTACTTTATTTATTTCCAATCTGTTGCTATTGTGGATATGCAGGAAAGCCCATCTTGAGTTCTGGGTGATATGTGCCAGCTCCTTTCCTGAATGCCTTTGTTTTTTCTTCAAAACCTAATTGCCACTGATAGCCCAGTTTACTTAATTTTTCTCTTGGTTGCAGTTTGCTTTATTTGCCTTTGATTATTTTGGGAGTGTTGCTATAATGAGAAATTCATTATTTGAATTTGTGGAAAATGAAGTGGGTTCTCTTAGCTATTGGCAAACTGACTACATATGTTTAAAGCTGACTTGCTGACTAAAGTTGCAGTCTCTGAAACTGAGATTTGTCCTCTGTATAGGAGTGAGCCACTGGATATTTATGGTAAATTCTTTTTAGTGGGGAGATGAGAAAAGCAAGCAAGGAAGCCAGAAAAGTTCCAGAAGGATCAAATAATGTTTAACTGCATCTGTAATTTAGCTGGAGATGATAGCACATAGGTTTTATGTCAACCTGATCCATGTATTCTCAGAACTATATGCACAAAATTTAGTTTTATCTTTCAAAGCTGCTATGCTTTGAATCATAAATCATGTGAGAAGTAGAAATCAAGGTCAGGTCCTAAAAGTAGAGCAGACTGGATGCTGAGGCCTTTTGGGAATTACCTAAGACCTTGGGAACCTCTGTAGACTTCAGAAAAGGAGTGAAACCACTAATTGCCTTTTTAAAAAAACCAACTTTATTGAGCATAATTTACCCACATTAACATTCACCCATGTTAAATGTCCAGTTTCATGAGTTTTGATAAATGTACAGTTTTATAATCACCTAATTACCACCACCAACACCACAATCAGGATATAGAACATTTTCATTGCCCCAAAAAGTTCCCTCATGCCCCTTTGCAGTCAGTCCTCTCCCCCTTCCACCACCCTTTTCAACCTCTGATCATCTTTCTGTCACTGCTTTTGCCTTTTCTAGAATGTCAAATAAATGGAATCATACAATATGTAGTCTTTTGGGTCTGGCTTTGTTCACTTAGTATAGTCCTTTTAAGATTGGTATGTGTTGTTGCATATGTCAGTAGCTCGTTCCTTTTTAATTGCTGATAGTATTCCATTGGATGGATTTACTAGAATTTGTTTATCCATTCACTTATTGTTGCATGTTTGAGTTGCTTCCAGTTTTGGGCTATTATGACTAAAGCTGCCATGAAATAACATTAATGTCCAGGTCATTATGTAGACTTAGGTTTTCTTTTCTCTTGAGTACATACGTAGCTAGAAGTAGAATTGCAGGGTCATATGGTAAGTGTAAGTTTAACCTTATGAAAAATTGTCAAACTGTTTCCCAAAGAGGCTGTGCCATTTTTTGCATTCTCATCTGCAGTAGAGAGTTCCAGTTGCTCCATAACCTTTTGAGCACTTGATATTTTCAGGTTTTTAAAGTCTAGCCACTCCAGTGGGTATAGTAGTATCTCACTCTGGTTTTAATTTGCATTTGCCTAATGTCTCATGATGATGAGTTTATTTTCATGTGCTTAAAATGACCATTCTTATATCTTTATTGGTGAAGTATCTGTTCAGCTCTTTTGCCCATTTTAAGAACTGGGTGGTTTGTCTTATTATTACTTTATTGTGAGAGTTCTTTATGTATTCTGGGTATAAGTCGTTTATCAGATAGATGTTTTGTAAAATATTTCTCCTCGTCTGTAGCTTGCCTTTTAATTTTATTTTTAAAAGTGTCTTTCAAAGAGCAGAAGTTTTGAATTTTGATGAAGTCCAGTTTGTCAGTTTTTTTCATTTATGGATAATGCTATTTGTGTTCTAAGAAATCTGCCTAACCCAAGAACACAAATATTTTATATTTTCTTGTAAAAGTTTTGTATTTTTAAACTCTCTGTTTTTGTAATAACCTTATTGAGGTATGATTCACATACCATAAATTCACCCATTTAAAGTATACAATTCAGTGGTTCTTAGTGTGTACACAAAGTTCTGCAACCATCACCACAGTCAATTGTAGAACATTTTCATCACCTCAAAAAGAAACCCCTGGGGCTGGCCCGGTGGCGCGGTGGTTAAGTGCGCATGTTCCGCTTTGGAGGCCCGGGGTTCGCTGTTTCGGATCCTGGCTGCAGACATGGCACCGCTTGGCACGCCATGCTGTGGTAGGTGTCCCACGTATAAAGTAGAGGAAGATGGGCACAGATGTTGGCTCCGGGCCAGTCTTCCTCAGCGAAAAGAGGAGCATTGGCAGCAGTTAGCTCAGGGCGAATCTTCCTCAAAAAAAACAAAAGAGAAAAATAAACCCCTTACACTATAGCCATCCTCCTCCAAACCTCCCTTGTCCAGCCCTAGGTAGCTGCTAATTTACTTTCTTTCTCTGTAGATTTGCCTGTTCTGTACATTTCATGTAAATAAAATCATCTGTGTTTTCAAGGTTTATCCATGTTGTAACATGTATCAGCCAGATAACATTCCATTGTATGGATACACCACATTTAATTTATCTGTTCTTCAATTATGGACATTTGGGTTGTTTCTGCTTTTTGGCTATTATGAATAATACTGTTAGGAGCATGTGTGTACAAGTTTTTATGTGGATATATGTTTTCATTTCTCTTGAATACATACCTAGGAGTGGAATTGGTGGGTCATATCATAGCTCTTATGTTTAACCTTTTGAGGAATTGCCAAACTGTTTTCCAGAGTGGCTGCACCATAGTTTTCACTCTGATTTTTAGGTCTGTGATCCATTTTGAGTTGATTTTTGTATATTATCTGATGTAAGGGTCAAGGTTCTTTTTTTCCCCATAAGGATATCCAGTTGTTTCAGCAACCTGTGTTGAGAAGAATATCCTTTCCCCACTGAAATACCTTGGCAGTACTGTTGAAAATCAATCGAACATATATGTGTGGTTCTATTTCTATACTTTATTCTGATCCATTGATGATATGTCTGAACATGTTAATATTTACATCATTTTGAGGTTGGCCTCTGTTTGATGTCTTTTTCCCTTGAGAATGGGTCATAGTCTCCTGGTTCTTTGTACATGAGTAATTTTGGGTTGTATCCTGGATGTTGTAAATGTTACATTGTGTAGACTCTGGATTCTGTGGTATTCCTTTGAGGAATGTTGATGCTTTTGTTTGACCTGGCAGTTAACTATAAGCTGTATCACCTTCTGTGGGTTGTATTTCAAGTCTCAGCTCAATTCTTTCAGCCTTTTCTGTGCTACTTTGAGTCTGACCTGCATATATATCATTCAGGGAGGGATCAACCTGAGATATATGTGGTGTTCATTCACAGAATTAAGACATCACCTTCTCTGGTTCTCTCTCCTCTGGAATTCTCAAGTCATTCTGGTGGCAGCTTCAGTTGCCCAGAATCCTTTCTCTCTTTCCTCCAGCTAGAAAGATGTCAGGGTTTCTATCCAAGTTTTAGTTGCTTTGGTTATGCTGCTTTGTGACTGATGCCCACTATCAGGGCAAAGCCCCCTAAAAGCAGGAAACTCCCCCACTGTGTGCGGTGCTTCATCTTTTGACTCTCTTCTACAATCTGCCTGCTTTTAATGTACTATTCGGTATCCTCAGGTAACTAGTTTTGTATTGTCTCCAGAGTTTCTAGTTGTTATCCCTGGGAGGGGTGGTCTATAGGGGGTTTACACAGTAATACCTGAAGCAGAATCATCAATTCTATCAGTTTTTTCTTTATGTACAATGAAGCTATTTTGTTTTCTTGATGAATTGACCAATTTAACGTTATGAAATATCTCTCTTTATCCCTTTTAGTATTCTTTGTTCTGAAGTCTTTCTTTGACATTAACATATTGCCGCTAACAGCAACTTCAGCTTTCTTTTGATTATTGTTTTCATTGGATATTTTTTCCCTCCTTTTACTTTTAACCTATCTATATAGTTATACTTAAATGGGATTTCTTTTTTTTGTGTTTTTCATTATTTGATGAGGAAGATTGGCCCTGAGCTAACATGTGTTGCTAATCTTCCTCTTTTTGCTTGAGGAAAATTGTTACTGAGCCAACATTTGTGCCAGTCTTCCTCTATTTTGTATGTTGGACGCAGCCACAGCATGGCTTGATGAACGGTGTGTAGGTCCGCACCAGGGATCTGAACCCACGAACCCCAGGCCACCAAAGCAGAGCGCACGAGCTTAACCACAACACCACTTGGTCCAGTCCCTGGATTTCTTACAGACAGCATATAGTTGTGTCTTGCTTTTTTATCCAATCTGGCAATCTCAGTCTTTTATTTGGAGTGCGTAGACTATTTACTTTTAGTATAATTATTGACATAGTTATGTTTAAATCTGCCATCTTAATCTTTGTTGTATATGTCTCATCTGTTTTTTACTCCTTTTTTCCTCCCTTTCCTGAATTCTTTTCAATTAATAGAGTATTTCTTAATTATCCCACTTACTCCACTATTGTGTTATTA